TATCCGAAACTCACCCGAGCCCTCGGGGCTCCAAACCAAACATGCACACAAGTCTTAAAACATTATGCGAACTTGCTCGTGCGATCAAATCGCCAAAATAACAGCTAGAACTACGAATTTAGCACCAAATCAAATGAGATTCTTAAGAACACTTTGAAATTTTTATTTTCTCAACCGGACGTCCGAATCACGTCAAACCAACTCCGTTTCTCACCAAATATCACAGACATGACTTAAATATTATATTGAACATGTACCGTGCTCCAGAACCGAAATACGAACCCGATACCAGAAAGACCAAACACTAACAATTTCTTAAACATCATTAAATTTTTAGACTTACCATTTCTAACAAAAATTCATAACTCGGGCTAGGGACCTCCGAATCCGATTCCGGGCATATACTAAGTCTCATATTTTGATATGAACCCATCGAGACTATCAAAATATGAGTCCGGATCCGTTTACTCAAAACGTTGACCGAAGTCAACTAAATCAACTTTTAAAAAAAATAAATAATTATTTTCATCAACTTTCAATACAAAAGCTTTTCGGAAACACACCCGACTGCGCACGCAATTGAGGGGGATAAAATGAGGTTTTAAAGGCCTCGGAACACAAAATTTAGTTTTAAATCATAAGATGACCCAATCACAATTTTTTGTGGTTCGGAAGGTTATTGGTTATCGGAAGGTTAAATCATAAGATGACCGATTTTTTCCGTTATACCGAACACACCCTTAATGAGATCTGCCGTTTCAATTTTGTATAATTAAGTGGTGAGTTTTTTCAGTTATCATATTAGTACGAATTTATTACTTTCAACTGGATGGGAAAAATAGAGTATTTGACAGGAAAAGTAAGAGAAATGATATAAAAAAAGAGAGGAGAAAATAGATAAATAGAATCTTTTGCCAAAAAGAGGTGCCACCTCATCTTTTATTGTCCCTACTTTACATATAGATATGTATTTCTCTAGTATATTCTTGATGCAATATTATTAATTACTCCTAGTTGTATCTGAATTTTATATATATATATATATATATATAAAATCATTAAAATTATACATATTCTGATGTTTAGAAATAACAGTCTTAATCATCTACTAGTATTTAAGTTTATATACGCACGCACACACGCACACGTAGATATATTTTTAGATTAAATCATCTTAATCGTTTAAAAAAAATGACCCTTTAGTGTCTTTTGGCACCTATTATGATCTTTAGCATAAGAGAATGAAAGAAGTTAAGCAAGCATAACATTTTCAAATGGAATTAAATATAAGTTTTTATTTTTCTATAAGCAAGCATAACATTTTGTTCAAATCATGTATTTGTCTTAAGAAATTCATTGAACATGTATAAATTATTAATTTAGAATCCAGTAAAAAAAAATGTAGAATTCTGAACCCATAAATTTCAATTTCTGGCTCCACCTCTGAGCTAGCGTTTCACCATAGATCCCAAATTTGTTTTGAAAAATCTGATTTGGGTGAAGTTTGGTTTGAAGATGAAAATGAGTTTGGATATACGTTCTCAAAACATATTTTCCAACTTTATTTTGGAAAAACATATATAATTCCCAAGTTTTGGGATTTTGGACCAAAATCAGCTCAATAGCTGATTTTGGGATTTGAAATTTGGAATTTGGGATTTGGCCGAAATATGGGCAAAATTTATGGCCAAACAGGAGTTTTGAAAACGGAAAAGGGTTATAAATGTCCCTAAACTATTGGAAAAGGTTTAAAAATATCCTTCAACCTATTGGGCTAAAAATACCCCTCCATCCACTTTTTTGGTTCACTTATGCCCTTTGACCGTTAGGTCAATGCTGAATTAAAAATAATTATTATTCTTTTTGTAAAACTTAAAAAATTGCAAAATATTTTCGTTTTTTTAAAAATTTAATTGCACCAATAGTCCACTATTTAGTAAAGGCTTCTTTTATTTTTTTCAGTTTTTTTACAAAAAAACAAATTTACAGTTTTTTACTAAAAAAACTAAATTAACTTTTTTTCCTTAGTTTTTTAAAAGTTCAATTTTTTATTTTTGTTTAAAAACTTGGTAAAAAAAAACTTTTGTAAAAACTAAAGATTTTTTTAGTTTTTTAACTTTAAAATAATTTTTACGTTTTTTNAAAAACAAATTTGTAAAAACTGAAAAAAATATTTTCGTTTTTTAAAAACTGAAATTTTAAAAACTGAAAAAAATTAAAATAGGGGTTTGGTTGTGGGTTTTTTTTAAAAATGGGTCGGGTTAAAAAAAGAAATGAGTCGTTTTAATCTGGTGCTGCCACGTGGCACTCCATCCAAAATAGGAGTATTTTTGTTCCAAAGTATGACAGTAGGGGTATAGATAACCCAGAGTTAGATGGAAGTGGCGCGTCTTTTTTTTAGTTGAACTTTTTATTCGGGTCGGGTCAATGTTTGGGGCAGGTTAGTCCGTAAAACGGTTATATATGGGTTAGTCTTTCTAATAGGTTAGATGTTTTAATTTCGACCAATAAGAAGTTGTCACGTGGAATTTAAATAATAATTATTTTTAATTCAGCAGTGACCTAATAGTCAAAGGGCATAAGTGAACCAAAAAGGTGGATGAAGGGGTATTTTTAGCCCAATAGGTGGATGAAGGGTATTTTAAAACCTTTTTCAATAGTTTAGGGACATTTTTAACCCTTTTTCGTTTTGAAAATAAATCCCAAATTTATTTTGGCAACACTTATGGCCAAATGGGGCCTGAATATGGGAGATTTTTAATTTCCTTTTACAAGAAGGAAAACTCAATTATGGTAAATATATTGCCCTTTCCTTTAAAATATAGGAAAACCAAATATGGTAAAAAAATCAGGACAACACCTGACACAGAGATATTCTCTTCCTTCGCTTCTCTTAGGAGGATATATCCACTAAATACTAATAGCTCTTCGGTCGATTTCTGCAGTTCTCTGCCCACTGATTCCTTTTATAACTCTTAGTACAGGAGCTAGCTAGTGCACGTGCCCGTATGTTGTTTGCAACTTTTGTCAAACGTGTGAGTCCAAAATTTAGAGTCATTAAGTTCAAAATGAGTATATAATCTTATATAATATAATTTTACTTGCATATATATAAATCTATAATTCTGACCAAAAACATTTATAATGGGCTCAATTAAATTCACAGAGACGCTGTAGATTCGCCTATGTACACAAGGAACACACATCCACGTGTTGATTGGTGTTCCTGAGGGCAAGTAAGGCTTAATATAAGGAGCTCAGCTTCTTTTTATGCGTAATAGGGCAGAAAACAGATGTACCTATTCTTGTTCAATGTGAATCTGTTACTGTCATAGCTCAGATCAAATTAGTGCCGTGCAGCTCCAGTTTTCATCAGTTTATAATATGTATTCACTACTGCCAAAGCACCTTTCTTCCATCATTACATGCTACGCGTGTACTGAAGTGTATGATCACTTTATCTAAAAATTTAAACTGCTAGCCAGAGAGAACACACGATCTTAATTACTTAATTATATTATATCTCAGCAAGGTACGAAGATAGTAAACATGATGTATACATGGAATAAGTTGCCAATTAAAGCAAGTTTTGCGCCCAAAAACCATGATTTACTAATGGGTATAATTAACGATTCAAACTCTTTTTCACTTGCATATTTGTTTGTCCAAAATATATATCAGGATTCCAGCTTGCTTTTAATTTATCTCTTAAGGCCAGCTTTTGATCACCTGTTCTTCTGTATATCTCTTAGCTACTTTGCTACTGGTTACAGGTCACGCATGATGTCATTTTACAGTGTGCTTCTTTCAAGAATCACAACTAGGGTTTGCCTTCTAATTCTATCTTACTAAAGAAAGCTTATATTAATTGAATAATAATATTATTATAGCTTTTTAGTGAAGCGAGTAAACGTGGATGGAGGAACAGTGGTTTTGGCTCCCCACTAGCTAGAATCCCTCTTCCAGGAAGATATTGGAAGAGTGGTCCCCTAATCACTTTACAGAAACCCTAGGTTCCCTCTGCTTAAACCCTAAGTACTCGAAAAGTCATGGTGAAATTCAAGTTGTCCATACAGAGATCAGACTACTAAAATATTAGCATCTACTGTACTTTGACGTCCATTATTTACTGTAAAAATGTCTAGACTGATATGAAAAATGATATCCGGAAAATGACATTTTGAAAAACATTCAGTTCCACCACAACCCCGAATAGAGATTAGGAAGTAACATGGTCATGCACGAATTGAGTGACTACTAAAATAGTAGCATGCACTGTATTTGACATTCATTATTTACAGTAAAAATGCCTAGTGCCTGGTTCAAGAATTATGAAAAATGATATCCAGAAAATGACATTTTGAAAAATTGATCAGTTCTACCACAACCCTAAATAGAGATTAGGAAGTAACACGGTCATACACGATACAGTGACTGAGATAATAAAGGCTTCAGCTTAGGATCTCTAATGACAGATAGCTGATTGTTTCTATATGGTTTAATAAGAGTTCTATATATGGGGTACATTATATTATATTATGTATATATATAGTCATTAAGGATTGTCAATTCAACTAGCTAGCCTTTGAAAGCTGCAGAGGAAAATAATGCTCTCTATTATTTTTGAATGAATTTGGGGCTGGAGGCTTTTAGGTAGTACACATTTTATCGTATGGAAGGAAATTAAAATGCATGAGCTCTGGTCATGTATAGAGAATTACATGGGGGGCAGATGTGGTAAGAAAAAACTTTCACTATAAGGTTAGAAATGGAGAATTTGGATGGAATAGATGACCGGCTATTAAAAGAAAAATGTTAATTTCATCTTCGGAAGTGCCGGTTCATCGGATTGGTTTTGATCAATGATCAGATTAATATCAGCCTGCTTTTATTATCAGCAAATTAAACTAATAAGAAGTTTTCTAGAAGGTAACATGATAGCTTTAGTCATCTAATCAATCAGCTAATTAAAGGAATATATATTTCTCAGAAATGAGGAATTATTGGATATAGCTAAAAGAGAGGGGGAAAATGGAATCATTGATTAATACACAGTACGCTCCAATTCTCCTGATATACTCTAGCTGCTTATTGAAAATTAGAACATATTCAGAAACTCCAAACCCTAGATCCATATATGAACTTGCAGCTGAAGTGAAGGAAAACAAAAAAGAAAGATCCAAAAAGAAGTAGAAACACCTGTGAATAATGATTATAATTAGAAGATTGTCTCTAGTCGGACAAAGCTCCATATAGCCGATTCTTTCACAGATTTGGAACAACACAGAGAAGATTAGCATGAACCAAAAAAAATGGTCCGAATCTTTCAGTAAGAGTTTTCCATTATACTTTAAGTTAAGCTCTTATCGAGCTGGAGGAGTAGTGATAATTTCTTGATTCTCAGATTCACTTGCAGCTTCATGATCTGTATCTTCATCATTTGAACCTTTGGTCTGATTTGCTCTTTGTCTTTCAAACTCCCTTAATTTATACAAGTACCTCAACATGGCTTCGGCATAGTTGTCAAAACCAAGTGAACTAAGAGCCCAACAGATGTCATCTCCATTAACCGTCCTTCGATTCTCCTTGTGACACTTGTCAGATGCTTCCCCAGTAACAAAACTTATAAACTCTGATGCACATTCTTGAATTGTCTCTTTAGCTTCTTTGGAGATTTTGGCAGTTGGTGGCAGGATTTGTTTCATTATCCTTCCCACATTGGCTATTGGAACCAATTTCACATGTTCATTCACGTCCATCTTAATCGCGATATATCAAATGGTGAAAATAGTTATGGGTATAGTTGATCTTTCTTAAATGCAACACGTTTCTATTTTCTCTGATTACATGTTGTAGTGCATATAGGCGAATCTAGAAATTTAAGTTAGTGTGGGGGGGGGGGGGGGAATTTAAATAACAAAGGGTGTCAATTTAGAGTTGTATATGTGTATTGTAAATTTTCAACTGTATATATAATTTGAGTTGGAAGCAGAAAGGACACCAGATCGTACCTGATAGGTGGATTTAGCCCATAGTATTGTATGTATGTTTGTATGTACATGTTAGCATGCATGTGCAAGGAGAAGCATGACATATATGGGTAGAAATATACATGTTGGTCTAACCTTAGCGACTACCAAGTGATTACTCAAAAAGAAGGTGATAGTTAGTATGTGTATGGATATATAGAGAGAGAGATAGAGAGCTCCATATATGATGTATATTCAATTAGGATTTCGACGGAGGGTTAAGAATCAATCAAAATTGACATGGTCATACTAAGAACAAACTTTAGAGTTGAAACAATATGTTTATATCGTCCTCTTTTTGTTATAAATACTCCCAATTGAAATGAGACAACTCTTACGATTTAGTCATTTAATTTTTCATAGGTTAGATTTATATCTGAATTTTGACTGTGCCATGAGTACTAACTAACAAATTAAATTCAGATCTTGACTCTTCGGTCAAACTTGTTCCAAGATTAGGGTTTTAAAATATTAAGTTAGAATCTAATCGAATCCACTAATTCGCATAACAAGCTGTATTGGGGGAAAACCCACTTTTTAAAAGTTGAAACCTGTAAAGCTCAAGTCTATTAGGGTAGAAATGGTCCCCTCCCCCAAACCCGCTCTACATAAGTTTACTGTTTACTAAATAATCTTTAATTATTCCTTAAACTGATTTAAACTGTAAACAGTACAAATTGAAATGAATGGACGACATTTATGCACATTTGCATGTACTATAATTAATCCAATTAAAGAGCATAAAAAGAGGGAGTGATCACCTATACGAAACCCTAGTGTTTGATTACTTCATAAGATTTAGGTTTTTGTCGAGCTTTGTCACTCTATATGGCGGCATACCCCTTTACCTTTATTGCATTTGAATCTTTTAAGCTTTCAAGCCTTTTTAATATTAAGCCCTAGCATCTCATGAAGTTTACTTCACATTCTGCTTTTTAAATTTTACTACAGACCCTCTTATATATATGATTTACGTTAACGGCATTGACTTGATCTTGTTACTCTAATGCTATGTCTTGTTTAAGAAATTAACTTTGGCGAGGATCACCAATTTCATTGGCAAAGCTATAGCTTAATTTTGCCAATTATACACGATTAGACCTAACTATTTTGTGGTAGTGATATTATACTGGTAGAAGGATATGAAAATGTTCTACTATTTTATTTCGAAAAGAATAACTTTTTACAGTTAATGATGCCTAATTATATTGTGGAATCTTGCTTTATAGGCCACTAAAGTTAATTATGGGTAGAGATGCTAATTTATAAGCATAAATTCCCTAATAAGTTTTTTTTGTGTGGTACTAGTGTACATTTTAGAATGACTAATAGCAATTCGGCATTCAAGAGATATGAATTGACCATTAATCACAGAACTTACAGATTAATTAACGATTACCATCTCTATGAGATTAAATCATGAAGCAATTATATATAAGAAAAAAAAATTATCGCAAATAGAAGGGACTCATTTTAGTTGACCCTCGGATAAATTGGTTAGATTGTTAAATATTTTGGTCAAACCTAAAGTGCTTATAAGTTGAAATTTGATAAGTTGGGGGAGACCAACTTATGGCTTTTGGCTTATTTTTGGCTTATAAGCACTTTTAATTTTACCAAACGCGTAGATAAGCCAAAAAGTGCTTATAAGCCAGTTTGACCAGCTTATAAGCTTAGCCAAACACCCTCTGTGTTGGGTTTAAGCTTGTTATAGCTTAAAATAGAGTGGAGTGGAAAATGGAGGGGAAAATAAAATTTGAGTTTCCCTCTTTGATAAAGGGACATTGTCCCATATTGGAGGAGAAAAAAGTTTTGATGGGTATATATACAATTGCACTTCTTCTAGCTCTTAGAGAGTTGAGAAGAAGACAAGCCTTGCGTCGTCGTCGTTCGGCTTCAAATTAACCATTTTTATAGCGGTAAATTATTTTTCTTTCGTTTTGAATTCTCCGTTAGAATTTAAATTTGGCGGTTTGCGTAAATGGCCGTTTTATAAAACATCCATTTTGAGTTGCAGCCTTTATATGAAGAGTTGCAATTCCTCGGTATTGCCCAACTTTTTGGCTATATATACATGATCATTCTCACAGATTTTCCTTTCAAAAATTCCGATTTATCCTTCTTCCTTCTGCGTTGGTTTTTTAACAGAAAGAAAGCAGTAAGTGTGATTTGTTACCGATCTTTGAGTTCGTTGGTCATTGGGGTTGAAGTGCCGCTACACCAGTGAGGGTAATACATTCTATCCTAAGAGAAAATAATCCTAAACCTCCGGTACTAGGAGGGGATTAAGTTCCTCAAGGAAATATTGTGAATTCAGTGAGCTCGAATTAATTTCTGTTCTTCGACATTTCTGGTTTTAACTTGTTTCTATTTTTGATACGGATTACTAACAGAATGCAATATCATAATTAGTGATAGGAGGTCCTCCATTGTAAGAAAGACAATCTCTTCAGGAGTAATTAAGATCGATGTCGAAATGATATCTTCTTAGCAGCTACAAGTCATTAAATTCAACAGTCTATATAGCATCTTGCTTCTTTAGAATTTTATCCCTTTGCTGCTTTATATGACACAAGATATTTTCATGGAAACTTTATGGGTATGTTTGTGTATTGGGTGATACCCTTTTTGCTTGAGCCCGACCGGGTTGGGTCCGGTCCGGGGCAAGTCGGGGCCATCGAACCCGACCTGGATGCAAGGTAGAACGACGGCCACGTCAACAACCGAGGTCGAGTCATTTCGAGACCGTTGCAGAGCTCGATATGAGTCACCACCGGATGGAGAAACACACAAGGTCGGAAGCCGGACTCGTAACGGATAACCAAGCGTCGCCGGATATCTCGCCCAAACGTGATTTTCTCAACCACTTCAGGCCATTAAGGCGTAATTACAGGGATCCACGATGTAATTAATTTACCTACCTTATTTTTACCCTTAATCAGAATGTATAAAAGGGGAGAAGACCCCATAAAGAGGGGGGCGAAAACCATTACACTACAGTACCATCTCTCTCAATTCTTGTACGCTATCAAGCACAATTGTTCTAAGCAATATTATATTCTGCGATTATTTACTTTAGCAACAATTGTTGAGTCTTTATCTTTTATTTTCCTCAATCCAAACCTTTTGTATCTTTTAGTTCACGGATCCTTAAAACCCCATATAAATTCAATTGTTATCCGGATTCCAGGGTAAACAGTTTGGCGCCCACCGTGGGGCTAAGGATATTAGTGAGCTCTTTGATACTCTTTCTTGACGCATCACAGTACACTGGTTCTTTGCAAAAGAGTCCATCTTACATTCAAATTACCAACTCATAGAATGGCACAATCAATCAACAACGAACTTGAACAGCAGACAGGAAACGATGGAATGCCCGGGCTCGAAAACCCGATAGATGCCGATTCCCGGATGGCGCTCAACACTGATCAGGCCTCCGGATCATCACATAGCGTCCGGGGAGAGGACGATTCGAGGGCCCAGGCAGTCGGCGAAGAGACTATCAACCTTAAAATGATTTTTGACATGCTGCAAGCCCAGCAATCGGCTATAGCTCAGCTCCAGAGCCGGGTCCAGGAGCCTGTCAGGTCCGAGGAGGCTCCCCGTGCAGCTGCAATCATCAATCCGACCCCAGTACAGCCGGAACGGGGTGGGCCGGATGCTGATTCTGCGGTTCTTAGGAGGCTAGAAGAATTGACCGAACGAATCGAAAAGGGGGAGGAAAAGATCGAGGCCATCGATAAAAAAGTAGAAACATACAACTCCAGGGTCGACCAAATACCAGGTGCACCTCCGGTCCTGAAAGGCCTTGACGCTAAAAAGTTTGTACAAAAACCGTTCCCATCCAGTGCCGCCCCAAAACCTATCCCTAAGAAATTTAGAATGCCCGATATCCCGAAGTATAATGGGACCTCGGACCCAAACGAGCATGTGACAGCATACACATGCGCGATTAAGGGAAACGATCTCGAAGATGATGAAATCGAGTCAGTTTTGTTGAAAAAGTTTGGAGAAACCTTGTCCAAGGGGGCAATGACGTGGTATCATAACTTACCGCCAAATTCCATCGATTCGTTCGCCATGTTAGCCGATGCCTTCGTGAAAGCTCACGCCGGGGCGATCAGGGTAGAAACAAGGAAATCCGACCTATTCAAGGTCCGACAGCGCATAAACGAGACACTCCGGGAATTTGTATCTCGATTTCAAATGGAGAGGATGGATCTTCCCCCAGTCACGGATGACTGGGCAGTACAAGCCTTCACTCAAGGATTGAACGCCAACAGCTCAGCCGCATCCAGGCAATTAAAGCAAAGTCTGATCGAGTTTCCAGCAGTTACGTGGGCAGACATCCATAACCGGTACCAATCGAAGATAAGGGTAGAGGACGACCACAGCGGAGCGAGTTCGGATTCACCATCCACACATAGGAATTTCGATCGACCTCGTAGGGAAAACTACAAAGATTCGAGACCGAACAAGGAAAGATATCGGCCGTATCAGGATGATGGGAGGCCTAAATTTACGAGGAACGACCGCGGCTATGAGAGGAACAGAAGACCGTTACCGAAGGCCAACCTCGGGAAAGCCGTCGATAGACAGGAAGCACCCCGATTGGCTGAATATAATTTCAGTGTCGATTCGGCTACCTTGGTGTCGGCGATCGGACGCATCAAAGAAGCCCGATGGCCCAAACCCGTACAGTCCGATCCATCGAGGAGGGATCCCAAGTTAATATGTAAGTACCACAACACGCATGGNTCCAGGGTCGACCAAATACCAGGTGCACCTCCGGTCCTGAAAGGCCTTGACGCTAAAAAGTTTGTACAAAAACCGTTCCCATCCAGTGCCGCCCC